TCCACGTGCGAAGAAAACCGAAGTTCAGCCGTGTACGAAGGGGAACGCTGGAGGAGGCCCCGCCTTATTTTTTTCAGTACCTTGATAGCGAACCCTGCAAAGCGAGCATCATGGATGCGTCCATGACAACGAAGAATGCTCGGGTGTTGTGGAACGAGACGGGATAAGACCGAAGAAAACGGTGGAATGCGGACTGCATGATTGCTTATTTACTTTCACACATTTAAGACAGGCTGTGGCACTCGCGTACAGGCGCAGAGAAGCGCATACCAGAGCGGTTATGTACAAGGTTTCGTTCAGGCCCATGGTATATGGGCAGAATTTTGTCTTGATGTGGAGGGGACGGAGGTAGTGGAAGTGGGGAAGCAAACTGTGGTGCGTGGTTTTACGGAAGGGGCGGGGGACTCCGGTGTTACTTCTGTTGTGTCGGAGGCAAGTTCTGGTGCAGCTGAAAGGAGGTGGGGGCATTGACCTCTTTTGCACCCCCCTTGAGACGACCCATGTAATCAGCCCCGCCCACTTCAGAGTAATCAGCCCTGCCCACTTCAAGGTTGCCGAGCCACTGTCCACTGTCCACTTCAGAGTTGCCTTTTATGATGTGATTTCACAATGCCGATAACAAATGTTACCGGTACTGGTAAATGGTACGGTAAGGCATCTTTTATGTAACGTTATTACCGTTTTCGCATTAGCACACGCACCGTGGATCGGAAACTCTTTCAGCCGCGCTAATGATGAGGGTGGCTAATAACAGGTCTTGGGTAATACAGGCCTCGGGTAACTGGGTAATGACCACGACTTGATTAGTAGGGTATCGCCGAACCAGCAAAGCTTAAAGGTCCTATTTACGGCGGATGACAGGGTAAGGTATTCGCGGAACGTCCCAAAAGAGCACACCAAATGGATTGGTAAGGCGCTGTAATCTTTCTGTTCACACAAAGAAACTATATCACATATATCTGGTTGAAAGTGTTTTGCAGCAAAGAAAGCATTGGTAGAGTAAGCGGATGGGTTGGGGAGGGGGGGATGGTAATTTGCGCAGCTTCTAGTCTGTTGGCGAAGTGGGCAGTGCCACTTAGGTCACTCAAGTGTAATTATCAGTTCGCCCAGCTCTCCATTTTAATTCTACTTCTTGCAAATTCTAAGGAACAATTATAATTGGTCTGACGCTCATACACGAGGCTACAGGATTGGGTTAAGTCTGTTCCGGCGTACAATCTCAGAAGGGAATAGGTACAATATTCGTGTATGTGAGCATTAGTACTAAATTCCCTTTTCTTGCATTTTGTTTTGTAAATACAGCTTTCTCACTACTAAAGAGCTCGAAAACGAAGTTGTCGTAGCAATGAAGAAATCTGGCGTCGATTGTCGGTGAACCGTCCACGGAGTTCAATACATTTTCTTTACCTCGACACTAGTGAAGAGATTTGAGGAAACAGTCCTGCAATAGTTGTTGTTGTTGTTGTTTCCCTGTGCAATAGATCGTACCCAAAGGAGGGGATTGGCCGATTATAAGGCGAATTCGCCAGATACTTTCAGCATTGCGTCACTCCTAAAAAAGACTTTTGTGATTTAACTCTGACTTGAAATGCCCATTGCAAATTTGCAGAAAAAATAAAAAAAATATTGAAACCGTAATTTAGCAAGATAGTCGGTTAGTCGCAGTAATGTATTCCTGAACGGCGAATAAAATATTCGTGGCTGAAACCCAGTGTATATGCTGCCAAATGAAAGAAGATCAGGTTTGTGATAATTGCAAGCCCGAAAGTTTCAGGTAGTGATGCGCAGCATTTTCTTCTTCTTCAGCGCATGAGTAGATGGCACTCTAGAAGTTCGAAAACTCACAGCACCACTCATTCGACAAGTTGGCCACATACGTTCCCGCCAAGTATTGGTGCAACCATTGTTGTTTACATTCGTTGTGGTAACGATGATAGTAACAAGAGACTTTGTTTTTTTTTTTCACTAAGGGGATTCTTATTTATTTATTTTTGCTAATGGCTCTGCTGGCATCTATGTCGTCAGATGACGTTTACATTCACGACACTCACGAAAGTGACGTCATTGCTCCGTAGCACGTTCAGATCTTCCGCGCCTTTTTCAGGTGTTGTATTGGCCTTAAGTAATGCAGCCAAACGCAAAGAAGGCAAGTAAGTTCGTGCGAGTTTATTGGTACTTCTGACTTCGTTTGAATTATTCTAGGCGCCCACGATAAAGACGAAGGTATGCGAAGCTTATTTTAATGCAAATGTATCAGAGTGGTTGTGTGCCATAGTAATAAAGGCACAAACACAAATGCAACTTATTTTAAGTTTCGAGGCTCTAACCATCAAGCTCCTTAAATATGACCTGAAATGATTCAAGAAGGGCCACTTATTTAAACAAATTTGGAAAGTGCGAAATTTTGGGTGTGCGTATTGCTCTAGTTTAGCGATAACTAAAGTCTCAAGGTAATGAACGAAAAGTTGATTCGCCCGCGATTTCATTATTAGGTAGTTCGGCTGCATATATATATACTGTCTTATAAAAAACCACTCACGACTACTGCAACCACTGGTAGGGGCAACGATATCAAGTTATTCCCATAGTCTCTTCGGGTTCGTATTGCGACATTTAAAGCTACATTCGTGGTAAGGGGTTCGTATGATCACCTAAATTGATTTAATTTGCGCATGGGTGTTGGGTTCCTGCCTGAATGTAAGCGATTCTCGTACGAAGCAAAATAATGGGGCTAAGTGGTAGGTCGTAATGGCAGCGATTACTAGGCCGACGCACAATATTATTGATAATGGAAAGAAAAAAAAAGGAGTGCTTAACATTATAGTATCCATTATTCGAACTTTATCAGTACCAGCGCTGCCATCGCTCTGCTGTAAGTTCAGCTGCGATACCATTAATTGCAGTTCGGCGCTCACATTTGTTTTCCTCGACGTTCTATATAGCATTCATTCAAGTTAAGTACACTACATCTTGAACACCACCACAAAAATATGATGATGATAGCCTGTATGTATGACTCATACCACTCCGGAGGAATGGCCATGAAACGATAGTTATAGTTAAAAATAACATAACGGCTGACTAGGCCAATTCGACGCCTTTGAATTTCCCGCTGTTACGTACTAGTAGCTTCACAGTTTTATTACAGCAGAACGATGCAAACGCCTGTTAGTCTTAAAAACAACGAAACATCGCTATTACATTCTGAAGAGTTCCGGCACTTGCTGTTCACACGGAACACCGCAAAATGCTTTTCCCGTCAATGTGAGGTGACCCTCGCAAAATTTTGCTTTAGTGTTCCTCGGTTAAATTATTATCTTCACAAATCTGGTTGCATCAACTAACCTATGTGCAGTTTGCTTGCTTGCTTGATCCTTTCCTTTATGGCTGTTACCCACTAAGGGGGATTGGCCAAGAAGCCGATGGTAGTATGCAAGTCAATACCTTTAGGTTATCCAGGCTAGGGGAATAGGATTACTTTGTTTTGACTTGGTGGGATTAATTTGGCACAGTGTGAGAAAAAAAGGGAAAGAAGAGAAATAATAGAATTTGGTGGATATCTGAGGTGTAATCGTTATATGAATTCTTCTGAAGGTTAAATCATCACAGTATAATAGCGAATAATAAATGTTAGATTGGCTAGTAAAATTTGATAGCTGATCAAAGGCTCAGCAAGGTATTTGCAATGAATCTGAAACAATAGATCACTTCCTTTTCACATGTCACCGTTTCGCCTAGCTCACTCCACCGAATAATTCTCGAGGGGCCGATTGGTGTGCTGGGATTAGCATTTGTTACGTCCACCCTTTGATCATTTGGAGCCAGTCAGTTGGGTGTGGTCCGCAGTGCTATTCTGTCCGCGCTACATAAATTAATTCAGTCAACCGAAAGAATACGTTGCTACTGGTATCACCTGATAAATCTAACTATTTGTCCGCCTTCTTTTTTGCTATTTTTAAAAATCTGGTTTGTCGACTTCTTTTGCCCTTTTCATGCTCTATTTTTTTCTTTCGATGCACGTTACTATTCATCTCGCTCATATCTGATATCTCTCTCTCTCTCTCTCTCTCTTTTAACAAACATTGAATTTAAATTTTTATTATATAGTACAGTGTGGCCAATCGCGCTTGTGGGTATGAGCCAAGATCTTTTAGATGACAAAGAAACAAATCACATAAAAATCGTTTGACTAATTAACTATGGAATACACAACTCTAACACGTTGAAAACGGCCGAAAATGAAGGGCTTCAGCTGTAATATGCATGTTGGCAATAAACTCGCCTAGCACAGTGTGATGGATGAATGATCATTTCCAGGCCAGTTTTCCAATGAAAAAAATTATCATTACAGAGAAAAGAGAAAACCAAGATAAACTAATGTAACTGCTCTTTTTAAAAGCTTATTTTTTGTTCACATATATGAAAATTAGGCGTTACTAACACTTAGTGTCTGGAAAAACCGTCTGCTTGTGTGCCCACGACCATTCCGGTGAGATCGCAGTCATCCGAGCAGTTCGCTGAGCCGCCATCTTGTTTGGACAGCAAAGTAGCCTGATTGTTTCTTTTCTACGATTCTGTCTTCTCGAAGATGCATGCCTGTTTCGCCGGCTACGAGAGACCGGAATGCGATTAAGATGGCCTCTGTCCACATAGCTGTCTATTTAGCCGTCTATGGTGAGTATTGGAAGCACCTAAGGTCGTGCCCATGGAGTAAGGGAACGACTAGGTGGGAGTGTCACGACACAAACCTTGAAGCCCGGTCACAAAGAGCTCTATGAAGAAACAAGCCCAGGTAACTTGACAGGCATGCGCTAATATTGGTCGGCTCGCTTCAGTTGCAGCCACTCCTGGAGCTGCGATGGCCTCAGCCTACCCAGGAGGGCACCGCGAAGTGGTCAGGAGGGGCGGCATCAGAAGACATTGGCTCACCGAGGCTAGCGGAATAACGTGACACTCTTCCTGGCTTTTTCCTTTTTTCCCATAATCGTACCCGACTATAGGCACCCGACAGTGGACCAGAGGGCGTGGCGAAGCTCTTTGGGGCCACCTCAGAATTGTTAGTACCGACCACCCGGGATACCAAGAAAATGAAACTCTCGCTGAACACTTTGAGACGCTGAAGTGTCAGTGCCCTTTTTGGCGCGTTTTCAATGAAGCGCTCCTGGGCGCTTACATTAATTAGTCGTGACCCCCTGCTGACAACTAAAAAAAGAAAAATAATATGGCACGGGCAAGCCGGTTTCGCAGCGTCTACTCGCTAGTCCTACGCACTGGAAGACTCGGTTTTTGCGGCGCCTACTCGCTAGGCTGTGTGATCTGGCGCTACCATCAGATCTCGTAAACTGCATTGCCGGGTGCCTATAGGCTCATTCCGTAAACAGGGGCAGGCGCCGTCGACCTAGCGGCGCCGTCGTGGAACTAAGCTGCCTCCGAGAACAGCACGGCCGGGGGGAGCCCTCCCACCGCGTTGTGCTCGGAGGTAACTTTGCTGCTGCTGGACCAGTTGTCACGCGATCATAGAAGGGCGTTGCGAGGCCTTGGGCTGGGTGGAGCTAGGTGCCATGGACGTCGCTACAGGCACCCCATTATGTCTACGGCGCCAACCCCTGTTTACAAATACGGAACAGGCTCTTAACACTATAGACACGTGCACTGAGAGATTAACGGCATGCATCACAATCTGCTGCAGTGCATCCTACCTCGCTGTTGGCGGAGCCCCTGTGGTTATACTGGTGCCAGCTCAGTACGTCAGAGCCAATCAAGAAAACCTTGCTGGGGGCAACTAGTCACCGGAGTCTCTCTTCACGTGGGAAGAAAACCCAAGTTCAGCCGAGTACGAAGGAGAAGGCTGGAGGAGGCCCACGCCTCCTTATTTTTTTTTTTTTCGGTATCTCTATAGCGAACCCTGCAAAGCGAGCATATGGATGCGTCCATGACAACGAAGAATGCTCGGGTGTTGTGGAACGAGACGGGATAAGACCGAAGAACGGTGGAATGTGGTCGAATTATTGCTTATTTACTTTCACACATTCAAGACAGGCTGTGGCACTCGCGTACAGTCGCAGAGAAGCGCATACCAGAGCGGTTATGTACAAGGGTTTCGTTCAGGCCCATGGTATATGGGCAGAATTTGTCTTGATGTGGAGGGGACGGAGGTAGTGGAAGTGGGGAAGAAAACTTGTGGTGCGTGTTTTATGGGAAGGGGCGGGGTACTCCGGTGTTATTTCTGTTGTGTGGGAGGCAAGTTCTGGTGCAGCTGGAAGGAGGTGGGGCATTGACCTCTTTTGCACCCCCCCTTGAGACGCCCATGTAATCAGCACTGCTCACTTCAGAGTTGCCGAGCCACTGTCCACTGTCCACTTCCGAATTGCCTTTTATGATGTGATTTCACAATGCCGATAACACATGTTACCGGTACTGCCTAAATGGTACGGTACGGTGTCTTTCATGTTACACTATTATCGTTTCGCGTTAGTACACGCACCATGATCGGAAAACTCTTTCAGCCGCGCTATGATTAGGGTGGCTAATAACAGGCCTTGGGTAAAACAGGCCTTGGGTAAACTGAGTAATGACCACGACTTGATTAGTAGGATATCGCCGAACCAGCACAGCTTAAAGGCCCGATTTCTGGCGGATGAACAGGGTCAGGTATTCACGGAACGTACCAAAAGAACACGCTCAATGGGTTGGTAAGGCGCTGGAATCTTTCTGTTCACGCAAAGAAACTATATCACATATATCTGGTTGAAAGTGTTTTGCAGCAAAGAAAAGCATTGGTAGAGTAAGGCGGATGGGTTGGGGAGGGGGGAGATGGGTGATTTGCGCAGCTTCTAGTCTGTTGGCGAAGTGGGCAGTGCCACTTAGGTCACTCAAGTTTAATTATCAGTTCGCCCAGCTCTCCATTTTAATTCTACTTCTTGCAAATTCTAAGGAACAATTACAATTGGTCTGACGCTCATACACGAGGCTACAGGATTGGGTAGAGTCTGTTCCAGCGTACAATCTCAGAAGTGAATAGGGTTAAATATTCGGTGTATGTGAGCATTAGTACTAAATTCCCTTTTCTTGCATTTTGTTTTGTAAATACAGCTTTCTCACTAACTAAAGAGCTCGAAAACGAAGTTGTCGTAGCAATGAAGAAATCTGGCGTCGATTGTCGGTGAACGTCCACGGAGTTCAATACATGTTCTTTACCTCGACAGCTAGTGAGAGATTTGAGGAAACAGTCCTGCAATAGTTGTTGTTGTTGTGTTTCCCTGTGCAAATGGATCGTACCCAAAGGAGGGATTGGCCGATATAAGGCGAATTCGCCAGATACTTTCATCATTGCGTCATTCCTAAAAAGACTTTTGTGATTTAATTCTGATTGTGAATGCCCAATGCAAATTTGCAGAAAAAAATAAAAAAATAGTGAAACCGTAATTTAGCAAGAAAATCGTTTAGTCGCTGTGATGTATTCCTGAACGGCGATAAAACATCCCTGTGGCTGAAACCAGTGTAGATTCTCCAATGAAAGAAGATCAGGTTGTGATATATTGCAAGCCCGAAAGTTTCAGGTAGTGATACGCAGCATTTTCTTCTTCAGCGCTATGAGTGAGATGGCACTCTAGAAGTTCGAAAATCACAAGCACCACTGATTCGGACAAGTTGGCCACATACGTTCCCGCCAAGTATTGGTGCAACCATTGTTGTTTACATTCGGGTGGTAGCGATGATAGTAACAAAAAATCTGTTTACTTTTTCCACTAAGAACATTCTTTTTTTTTTGCTAATGGCTCTGCTGGCATCTACGTCGTCAGATGACGTTCCGTTGACGACACTCACGAAAGTGACGTCATTGCTCCGTAGCACGTCCAGGATCTTCCGCCATTTTCTCAGTCGCTGTGATGTATTCCTGAACGGCGAATAAAACATCCCTGTGACTGCAACCCAGTGTAGATGCTCCAAATGAAAGAAGATCAGGTTGTGATAATTGCAAGACCGAAAGTTTCAGGTAGTGATACGCAGCATTTTCTTCTTCTTCAGCGCATGAGTGAGATGGCACTCTAGAAGTTCGAAGATCACAGCACCACTCATTCGACAAGTTGGCCACATACGTTCCCGCCAAGTAATGGTGCAACCATTGTTGTTTACATTCGGTGTGGTAGCGATGATAGTAATAAAATATCTATTTACTTTTTCCACTAAGAACATTCTTTTTTTTTTGCTAATGGCTCTGCTGACATCTACGTCATCAGATGACGTTTCCGTTGACGACACTCACGAAAGTGACGTCATTGCTCCGTAGCACGTCCAGATCTTCCGCCATTTTCTCAGTTGTTTTATTGGCCTTAAGTAATGCAGCCAAACGCAAGGAAGGCAAGTAAGTTCGTGCGAGTGTATTGGTACTTTTGACTCCGTTTGCATTATTCTAGGCGCCTACGATAAAGACGAAGGTATGCGAAGCTTATTTAATGCAAATGTACCAGAGTGGTTGTGTGCCATAGTAATAAAGGCACAAACACAAACGCAACTTATTTTAAGTTTCGAGGCTCTAACCATCGAGCTCCTTAGATATGACCTGAAAAGATTCAAGAAGGGCTACTTAATTAAACAAATTTGGAACGTGCGAAATGGTGGGTGTGAGTAGTATTGCTCTATTTTCGCGACAACGAAAGTCTCATATAACGAACGAAAAGTTGCTTCGCCTACGATTTCATTATTGAGTGGTTCGGCTGCATGTATTCTCTTATAATCCGTCACGACTACTGCAACCACTGGTAGGGGCAACGATGTCAAGTTATTCCCATCGTCTCTTCGGATTCGTATTGTGACATTTAAAGTTAAATTCGTTGTAAGGGGTTCGTATGATCACCTAAATTGATTTAATTTGCGCATGGGTGTTGGGCTGTTGCCTGAACGTAAGCGATTCTCGTACGAAGCAAAATAATGGGGCTAAGTGGTAGGTCGTAATGGCAGCGATTACTAGGCCGACGCACGATGTTATTGATAATGGAAAGAAACACAGGACTGCTTACTATTATAGTATCCATTATTCGAACTTTATCAGTACCAGAGCTGCCGTCGCTCTGCTGTAAGTTCAGCTGCGATACCATTAAATGCAGTTCGGCGCTCACATTGGTCTTCCTCGACGTTCTATAGCATTCATTCAAGCATAGCCTCCTATATTTTTTTGTGCCCGCGCATTAGCGCTAAATACATACGCGCCATCCGTCCCTTATAGTTTTGGCGCTCGCCGCCAGATGCCGCACCGATCCCATAATAACAGCAGACGACGCGGCCTATGCACGCTTGCGTTTATGACGGTCTAGAAACCGTCTACATTGCATTGGATTATGCGTATACGTTAAGAAGTGCGCACACACCAAATTTTTAACACAAGCACTGTATGCAGAATGCAATGTGAGCTTTGTTATTTGATTTCGCGCTCAAAGCTTGAGCACTTTTCGAGACAATGGTTTGACATGAAAATCTTTTGCCAAGTCGTGTTTGTCAGTCACACTCGTCGCGAAGTTCAGAAAAAGTGGGCGGAGAAACTTCACGAGCACAACCTCCAAAAGTTTTTTATGATGTCCCGGGGTCGAGCACTTGAGCTTGTCACGTTTCTGTAGTATTTGCGCGGCGTTGTCAACGGCAGCCTTCAGTGGCTGATTCATCTTTCTCGCTCTTGCGAGGAAAACTTCCGCGTAATTCTTTAGAGAATTTAGAACCATTACGAGCTCAGTTGACGGATACAAGAGTCCACCTCTGTCCTGGTGCCTAATTAATGCATCCGATGGCGCAGAGGTGTTTGGTTTAGTCACCAAAGTGAATCATTCATCACAGAAAATGGTTTCGTGGACTGTTCTTGCAATATAGCCACCAACCATTGCTAGTGCAGCAACATCTGGCGTTGGGAGCAACGTCTTCCCCCTGTCGAGGCTCTCCTCGAGGATCGTGGTTGATTCTGCTGGAAATGCTTCACCGTCATTCTGCGCTGCTCTTGCCGATCGCTGTAGGAGTGCTGATGTGGAGCAGCTGCTGCTGTCTGCAGTAGGCTCGTGCCCAAACGTACACCTGGGTGGATATCTCCACATTCAATCAGAACATGCTCCGCCGTTTCCTTATCTTTCCCGCAGCATGTGCATTGTTCTTCTTCTTTACTGAATCTTGCTTTATAACTACGCGTTCTAAGGCAACCCGATCTCGCTTCAAACAGTAAAGCGCTTCCCCTTGAATTATCGTAAAATGCCTCCCTCCTTATTTCATTTTTGCCCTTTCGGTAGTTACTCAAAGCCGGTTTTTTCTCCATAGCTGCCATCCATTCTCTCGTTTTGCGCCTCGGCGCTCCGCCAGGAGCGCTCGCATCCCATAATAGCTCGGGGGACGGCGCTGAGGGACCGACCGCTCGGGCACAAAGTTATAGAGGAGGCTATGATTCAAGTTAAGTACACTACATCTTGAACACCACCGTAAAAAATATGATGATGATAGCCTGTATGTATGACTCACACCCACTCTCGAAGAATGGCCATGAAACGAATAGTTTATAGTTAAAAATAACATAACGGCTGACTAAGTCACTTCGACATCTTTAAATCTCCTGCTGTTACGAGTAGCTCCACAGTTTTCTTTTATTACTGCAGAACGATGCAAACGCCTGTTAGTCCTAAAAAACAACGATACATCGCTACTACATTCTGAAGAGTTCCGGCACTTACTGTTCACACGGAACACCGCAAAATGCTTCTTCCGTCAATGTGAGGTGACCCTCACAAGCTTTCGCTGTAGTGTTCCTTGGTTA